TCATCAGTCACCTACACACACTTGACAAGGAGTGAAACTTTCAGAATCCAAGTGTTTTTTTCATCCTCTCATCCAGCCTTTGTTTCCTCGAGACAATTCAGCCTTTTTCCTATCATTTATAACAGCCACAATTTTTAAGGGCCCTGCCAAAATCAACATGAAGGGAAGAAGCATAAGAAAGAACCTTTAACGTAATAGACAAAAAAAAAAAAACCACCAAAACTAAAAAGATGGAGAAAATTCAAAGGCTTAAATGAGGCAGATACATTTGTGGAATGTATCTTCTCTTTACCATGAAATAGGTGTTCACATGCCTTTGTAGCACTGTAGCCCATYCCACACTCCAGAAAAAAAGCTCTCCCCTCAACTCAGTCCACATCAGTCTTCTTTAGAGAAAGCCAAGGCCAAAAATGAGGCAGGTGACCCTGAACACAGGATTCATCCTTACTGTTTTTAAGGCCTAAACCATCTGCTAAATCCCAGTGCTGGGAGAGAATTTGTGATTTCACTGCTGAGCTTCCCTGATGCCAGCTACTGGTTCAGGCCTCAGTCCCAGGGCTCTGCACACACACAAACAGGAGCAGGAGCATCGCCGTGGCAATATTCTTTTAAAAATCATCATCAAGTATTGGAATATTTAKTTTCAGAGCACTCCAAGAAACTCCTGCATTTTCTTGCTGGTTAACATGCAATTCCCAGTACATCTTTGGGCAGCCCATGATGACTCTGCAAACACACAGATCCACTGAAAATGGACTCAAACTACCTGCCTTTGTATAAACTCCCCTCTCCAAAAAGTCCCCCAATTTGTCTGACTGAAATTCTTATTACTTTCAAGTAACAATGACTTTAGCACACAAAGAGCAGACAAGAAGCTCACTGCTCAAACCCATGCAATATTCAATCATTCAGATGGGGAACTTTTGCATTTTGAGTTCACTTTGCTAGTTCCTTTTCTTCCCCCCAGTCCTTCCAAATATTTCCATCCTTCTAAACCCTGGCAGAGTAGACTTTATAGAGGTAAAAAGCCCCCACTCCTTAGCATTAGAAACCTTTAAGGTTTCTAACCCCATGCCTTCGATGTCAGCTCCTTGTGTACAACTACCATGACAACAGTATAAGCTCTATGAGCTGTCATTCAGCAAGAAAAAAAATAAATATTTAAGCTTTGTTAGATAAAGTAATATCGATTTTTTTTTTCAGGTGGATTGCCTTTTTGAACAGATTCTGCAACTGAGAGATTGGCACTGAATTAAAATTAGAATACTGTCAAAAACAGCAAGCCCTCATCAAAATACAGCAATTATCAATAACCTCAGACCAAAGAAATTAAATCAGGAGACTCAGCTGAAAACATACTGATGTTTGGTCAGTAACTGAGTGTTTGATAAGTAACTGAGTGTTCTCACACCTCAGAAATCTAAACCAATCTGGCACGTTTGAGTGAAAGCCATGATGCTCCACGACGCTCAAATCTCGTGACACAGCAGTGGAATCCACACGTTTGCTCCAGAGGGGAGGCAGAGGAGGTGACTAACACACTCTAACTCACTGATCCATGCAGGACCTTTAAAATTAGTAATACATACACAAAGAGCACCACAGTGCATGGTTTGAATCAATTTACTCATTTTATCCTCCATGTACAATATGCCATCCTGTGGGAGAGATGAGCTAATCCATCTACTCTTTTTCCAGCTCTATGACAGTTAAATCTTCTCTCTGTGGGTTCACTTTAAACCATATGCTGACATATGCTTTGTCCCTTTCATTTGCAAAGTTTTAACTGGTTCTTTCATCCACAACTTCTTATTGTACATATTTTCACTGTTAAAATTCAGGTAGTTGCTTATTTGTATAACCAATTCCAGGTACAACTGTATCTCAGCAGCTTTGGAGTTTGGTCATTAAAGGGATCCATCGACCAACTGTGTATGTCAAGGAATTAAAAACTGACAAGATACTGCAGAAATGGCTTTCTTCTCACAAATACCCACCCTTGAGCCTGTCTCCTACACAGACATCCAGTCCAAAGCTTGGCATTTTTATCTAACCCYATGAGTGGAAATGCTTTCCCCATGTTCATTTCTCACATTTGTAATTTAAGTCCCAATGCTTTATCACTACCCTGAACAAAATGCCACTGAGGTAATGGTTCTTTTGCCTAAATAAAGAATTCCAGATGAGGCCTTTTATTGCAAATGCTCAGGTCATACCAACAAGACCATCACAAAAACACTGAGAGCAATAAAATMTAAAGTGTTTCATTTCCCCTCACTTTCAGATAACTGTAAACAATGTTGAACAGTAGGATTTTCCTTTTTCAGGAAAGATTTTGCTTTGAACATCAAAATCTATTTGGAAGAATGCTCTTTACACAGCTGCTCTGAGCAGGCAYCTGACATAGCAGCACGCTTACTTCAAGGAAGAGGTTAAATCCAAGTTCAATATTCATAATTCTGTAAAATAAGCCCAGTAAGTCAGCAAAATATTCTTACATCTTGAAGTTCAATGCAATTTATGCAAACCAGACTTGACTGCTGCTAATGCAAAGACCACTAATGCACTCCTCCAAAAGTTCTCATGACAGACACATTCATGTTTCACTCATCAAACAAACATCTTAAAACACAAATAAGCTATTTTGGGGACTTTCAGAAATGCACTTAAAGCAGCAGAAGAAMATTTTTTCACCTGGATTTCAATAACAATGTTTGTAACACTATAAGGAAAACAAAGTTGTTTCAGCAAAGRCCACTTGCCCTCATCCTTTAGCATCCTTCCTCCAAACTCAGCAAGGTGTGACCCATCTGGCAGGAGCAGACCTGCCCAAAGCTACTGGTCATACTTGTTTCCAGGCTCAACTTCTAAAACTAGAGTGGCCACCTAGGTGGTTTTCCTCCAAGAGTACTAGCCACAGGCAGGTGCTGTATCTCCTTCCACCACCTAAGTGAAGGTTCATGTGCTCCACAGAATACAAAATGAACAAATGGAACCAAGAAGCAACATAGGTGCATTTGCTCGGTAAAAATGAAAATCCTCCAGAGAAACAATTGAGCATTCACATCAAAAAAAAAAACCAAAAAAACCCAGGTTAAATACTAAAAAACAAGCTTGTAATCCAGAAGAAGGGCATGACTGCAATACCTGCTTTTTTTTTTTGGTAAAGTTTACGTGACTGTTTTTAAAAGATCTACAGCTCTGAGTGTTAGTCACAGGTTTCTAACTATAAACGCTTATCCAGCTGCATAATTCTTAATGCTACTATTTAGCCTGYTCTTTTAAAATTACTGATTTTATCATAATGTAACACAAAAGCAGAGTGTGCAATGCACTTCACCTGTCATTTTTGAAAAGTATTTGATGCATCTCATTTTTTAAGTGATTTAAAAATGCATTATCTGCAAATTCATTATTTTTTATGCATTCCTCAAATTATGGGGAAGGTATCTCAGACATTCATTATAAAAAAGTACTACACAATCTTTTTTTTAGAGGCAAAAATGTTAGAAGCTAAATAGMTTTAAAAATGTTGAAGTTGAAAAGTGTTTGGTTTTAATACTGATCATCTGTAGCTCCTTCAAGTTTTTTTTATCAATATTTATTATTTTTTTAGGATACAAAGCACTACATCATTCTTTGTTATCATTATTCTATGGAGTGAGAATGCTTCTGAAACTGCAAACTACGTATGTTACTAAATACAATTATAACTCAACAGCTATAAATGCCAGGATTGAATAACTGAAAACATATGCTATATGCCTGAAATTTTAAGGATGATGAAACTGTCACATTAGTAGCACACAGCATGTTATAAAGAACTCCCACAATGTAGCAGTTGTTCAAAACTTGTACCCATCCGGTCATTCTATCTTTATAAAAAGATATATAATACTAGATGGTGATTTATTCAAAACACAGCTGCAGCCTAACTCAAAGGTAATAAGAAAAAAACCACACAAAAAAACGCACAGCAAAAAATCTTTTTACATTACAGCATTAAGGCCATGTCAGAATGGCGTGCACACATAAAAGAATAAAAGCRTTTCCAAAAAGTCCAAATTTTATTCCCATTCGAGTTTATTTGAGGGGAGGACAGGTGAGGGAGCGGGAGAAGCGGAGCAGCGGAACAACCACACTCAGATCAGAGGATTGCTTGCGCTCCCTTCAATCACGGATCTTCAAGTGTCGCCCCCGGGGATGGGGATGGGGATGGGGATGGGGATGGGGACGGTGAACCCGGCAGCGGGGAGAGCCCCGGCAGCCGCCCCCCGACCCCTCCTGTCGGGGGAGATCGCAGCCTTGTCCCCCCGTCCCCCAGCACTGCCGAGCTCCGCACGTTCGGCTCAACTTTTATTCGCGACTCGTTTGACCCGCACCCGCCCGGAGCGGCCGGACACGCTCCCCGC